GGGGGACACACAAACGGACAGCCAGACAGACAAATGAACAGACAGACATGCAGAGTCACTTACTGTGTGTCCACAGGCACGCTTGCAGGATATATGGAAGAAGATGGTGTCCTCGCCGGCGATCATGTACGACACTCCGTAGCCGTTGTCAGAGACCTGTGCAGCAGATGGCAACGATATTATTTGTTGTTTTAGTAGAGGTTTTACGGCGTTCGCAACTGCATAAGGTCATATGAGCGCCAAAAGATTAGAGGTGTTACAAGAGAGTAACAAACATAAAAAAGAAGAAGGGGAGATAAGGACAATAGATGTTTGATAGGAAAGAAGGAGCAAACCACACCAGAGCACCCGACAACCACCCACTGACAATAATATGACTTGTTTGTTCGTTTTTTTTGAGTTAACAGAGGCACATTGACACAAATACGGCCATTTCATTTTGTTTAGGTTTAGTAGGGTTTTTACAGCGCTCACAACTGCATAAGGTCATATGAGCGCCAAGGGGTGGATGTCAACAGAGAAGTCCTTACAGGGAATCAGACTTACTCTGCTCACCTCTGTAGCCTCAACAGCACAAAGTCTGCTTCGACTATCAAGGCACCCCAGAAATAGCGGGTCACTAGAGTGTGACAAACATACAAAAGAAGTAAAGGAAAGATGAAGATAGTAAGGATTAGGGAAGAAAAAGCAGCAGTTCCCTGTGTCGCAGTTCAGGCACAGTTATGAGCATGACATCGATGAGTCAGCCCCTTTACAATTCTACTGTGCATAGGAACATGTCAATGTCCCCCCTTTGGGAATAGCCTAAAGACACTTCAGTCGGTGGCATCCCCCCAGAGGGTTAGCACCAGTATGACTTATTTATTCGTTTGTTTGAGTAAACAGAGCACATTGACACAATAAGACCAATTTCTTTTAGTTTTAGAAAGAGTGTAGTTTTTAGTAAGAGTTTTACGGCACTTGCAATACAATTATGTCATATAAGTGCCGAAGATTAGAGGAGTCAAAAGAGAGTAACAAACATAAAGAAGAAGGAGGAGGAGAGATAGAGACGACAGATGTTTGATAGGAAAGCAGGAGCAAACCACACCACAGCACCCGCCAACCACTCACTGACAGAACTTATAAACTCGCATAGTTTAGAGCCCAAAATGTACTTACAAACAAAAGGACGTTTTTTTTTATGGGGGGGGGGGTGTTTGTCCTTTTATAATGAACGTCTTCTACGTCCCCATCAACACAATTTAAATCTCATTTAGGAGACCGGCTTTGACCCGGCCTGTCAGGGTCAACTCCAGCTGAAAGGGTGGATACAACATCCCGGCGGAAAGACCGAGATGTTTTGTAAAAATTCTCCGCATGCGGGAATTAAACTCTGGTCTTCTGTTTGTGACACTGAAGCCCCTAACTGCTACACCACAGACGGCGGAAAGAACAAGATCAAAAATAGAGGTGTGCTGTCAAAATGAGTTACTTCTCGGATTTTAACCTTATGGAAATTGATTCAGCACCTTTATAGGTGAAGTTTGTACAATTTATAAGTATGGAAAATAAAAGACACTGTAAACTTGAAGAAAATGGCATCAATTGAAAATTTGTGAATCTGACCCCAGTGTCGATTTTCGGCCGATATCTCAATTCTTGGACTGCGACAAGTAACTCATTTTGTCAGCACACCTCACAAAAGAAAAAAAACAAAGTTACCGGTCCAAAGCCGCCTCCTCCACAGATGCGGTCCGGGTGTTTGGTGAGGTCCAGTCGGTCTGTCTGCTGGTGTGGTGTCTGGAATACAAAGGAAAACACAAACACGCTAGTCATTACAAAGTCTAGATCTATTTTCCATAAAGACAGAAAATGTTCTTTACAACTGACACAATATATTTCTCTCTCTAACACTTTAAGCACCTACACCCAATCATTCTTCCTGGTTAGCATGGTTTATTTTCAGAGAAATGATGTCAGGAAAATTTTAAAAAGGAGAAAACAAAACTGTTTGTCACAGCTCCAAACTGGCCAGTAGGGCCAACCTCCCAATCAGCCATTCACTCAGGAACTGGTGAGCACAAACTTGCCAACAACCATTCACTCAGGATCTAGCCTACACCATTTCCCTACCCAACCTGATCTGATACCATCATTTATATTAGGTCTATCTGACCAGCAAATATCCACTCTTACACAATACACCATTAGTTTGTCATATCTGGACAGCTGAGTGAGAATACAGGAGGAACAGAGGTTCCCACGAGAGCCAAGTTTTACTGAGAAAGTAGACGTGACTGTGAAAAAATATCAAGAAGTTAGCCCAGGATAGGGAAAGGAGAAAGTGTTTGTTCGTGGCCTGTATCCTGGTGAAGGGTGAGAAAGGCAGTAATCATGAGGAAGGACTGACCTAAAAATGAAATGATGAAATGCAACTCACTGACTGCCGTTACTGGGGCGTATCCGGGACGTGATTACGTAGTAAAATTGCCGAACCCGGAGGCTCTCCGGTATGGACTTTATAATTTTGTTCCATATACATCCCGGACAGCAACCGGGTCTGGCAGTTTAGAGCAGTTAGGGAAGCCATTGCGACGTGATAAATGACTACAGTAATCGGCCTTACGCTTTCGGTTTTATTGTTGTGATTTTTTTCCACAAGAGACCTATTGCCTGCCAATTCTCAGTTCTGTTGTGAATTCACAACGATAGCATCCAAGAAGCACAGCAATATTTTTGATGCGTTAGCGGACGAAAATGATGATGAGCCATTTCATGGTGTCGGAACAGACATTGAAATAGGTGAATTAGACGTTGATAGGGATGCTGACCCATCATTTTGTGTTCGGGAAGCTAAAAAAAGGCAAAGATTACCTGATTCTAATGCTAGATCTAGTAGTGTGCCAGGACCTAATCCTCGATCTAGATCTACATCTACCAGTACTAAATTGAATATTTTCCAGAAACTCGTAGAAGAAAAACTATTGCATATATTGAAAAGATATTTGGCATGAGTACACTTAAGCATGTCACAGCACACAAAATTTCAAATCCCTAGGTACAATAGTAGACCTGCATGTGAGCCTCAACTAGATTGTCTGAAAATTTAGCGCAAACCCGGGAACAAAGTCACAAAGTATACAGACCCGGTAGGGGAACTCTTTTGTGATTTCGGAAAATTTCAGCGTCCTCTTGGCTCAGGGTAGAACTAGATATAGGTTCTTCTAGATCTATGGCCTAGGTCTAGATCTAGACAGACAGATATAAATCATTGATCTAGTTTCGAGGCTAGCCTAGATCTAGATCTAAAACTAAATGAAGATTGTGGATGTCTTTTCGATGAACGATCGTTTTTCCTCCGTTTTGGAGTTGGAGGAATCACAGTTTGAAGAAAAGAACAATGTCATTATGGTTTCAATTGAGCAGTCACCCTCTCTCTCTCCTCTGTCTCTGTGTATTGCTCACATTCTCTTTTTCTTTGTTTGTCCCAGTCTTTCTTTCTCCCCCCTATTTCCCACTCCTTGTTTCTCTCGTTCCCTCCTGCCAACTGGGGCATGTCATATATATATACATTTCGCTAGCACTTCCCCCTGCTCTCTCTCTCTCTCTCTCCTTTCTCTCTCTCTCTCCTTTCTCTCTCTCTCTCTCTCTCTAACTCTCACTCACTCACACACACACTCACACACACTCACACACACACACACACACACACTAACGGGTCTGGGTGCTGAAACTTTCCGAAATTACAAAAGAGTTCTTCTACCGGGTCTGTATACTTCGTGACTTTGTTCCCGGTTACCGGGTCTGTATGCACTTCGAACATTTAAAGCCTTTGCCAAAAGGTGGGACACCCGGGTGTGACAAACGAGGTCCAAATTCAACGTAGGCTCGACCCTGTGCGAATAGAATTATTTCTTATTCGCACATCCGGTGTGAAGAAGGAAGAGGCTAGCCGTACTTAATGACGGCTAGACTGGCAAAGTACGGCTAGCTGATGGCTAGACTGACCATTTACAAAAAATAGGCCTACTGAATTGTAAATATACATTTTTAGTGTGCAGTACCTAAAGTATTTGTATTTGAGACAAAACCAGGTTCCTTAATGACAGTGCATGTATTTTAAACCTCCTGTTTTCTAATGTAAATAGGGCCTAAGATAAGTACGGCTAGACTGTCAGTCTAGCCGTACTTAAGTACGGGTAGACAGCCAGGCTAGCCGTACTTAAGGACGGCTAGACTGTCAGTCTAGCCGTACTTAATATTGATGGTTGAATTGTAAATGAAAATTTTAGTTTGCAATGCCTAAAGTATTTGTATTTCAGACAAAACCAAAAGGTGCCTTACTGACTTGCATGTATACTGAATATACCTGAATAATTACTAGATCTAGATCTAATGAGACCTGTGTACTTAACAGGCTTGAGTCGATTGGGCCAAACCTAGATCTAAGTACGGCTAGACTGGCAGTCTAGCCGTACTTAAGTACGGCTAGCCACTTCGTACTAAGAATTGGAATATGAATCCTCCATATAGATCTAGTAATCTAAATAAATCTAGATCTTGTAGAACAAGTGAATAGGAATAGATCAAGGCCTTGAACTAGATCTAGAAATATGCATCCAATTCCGAACAGAGGGACTCAGCTGAGTCTAGATCTAGATTCTAAATAAATAAATAATTCACGCACCTGATGAAATGCTTTTTACCAACAATAATATTACAGCACAACCTATGATAGGGTTTAACAAAATAGAATTTGAATATGAATCCTCCATTGAGGTCTATAATGATCTATAAATCTAGATTCTATTAGAACAGGTGAGTCGGACTGGAAAGAATCCACATAACAATGAATTAGTCAACAAACGAAATTCAAAATGGCCGCTCCCGCACGAAACTGAAAGTAGATAATTTAGTTCGTTGTCCTTTTTCGTATTCGCATTTCTACTCAGGTTCCGACAATTATGTCGGAAACGCTGACTTCGGCAGCCGGCACGAAAACGAAAGTGCTGACAAAGCCAACGGGAGAAAAAGGGGGCGCTGGCAGTCGGCCAGGCCTCGCACTTCGCACATTGACTGATACAGGTGGGCCTAGCGATAGCATCAGCCGGCTCACAGGTCGCGTCGCGATTGTCGAATTTCAGACAATTGTCGTCAAACATGCAGGTCTACAATAGCTTTTGAATTACGTATTTTTGAAAACACTCTAAAAACCGCGGCAGATCACCGCTATTGAGGTTCCATGGGCCTGGCAGTCAGTGAGTAATAACGTCATCTCCGAAAGGACAGAGCCAAATGGGAAATTCGCGTAAAGTGCCTTTCCCAAGGACACAACGTCGGACCGAGCTCAGGCTCGAAACCCTGGAACTCAGGACTGACCTGACTGGTAGACAGTTTCCAGGGTTCGCTGAGAGCCTGTGCCAGGAAGGGCGAGTCCACACCCAGGTACTTGGAGACCACGTAGAGACAGAAGAGATGCCTGTCCACACCGGCGCCCGTCATAGTGTCGCGGTACAGCTTCTGGTGGGTGTCGGCAGACTTGCGCAGCAGCTTGATGCTGTCCGCTTTCTGCAACAGGAAAATGGGGACAAATTTTGTTTTAGCTTTGCTTGTGTAGTATAGGGTTTTACGGCGCTCGCAACTGCTAAGGTCATATGAGCGCGCCTTGCAATCACTTGTCCGCACTGATGCAAAAGAAGAGTTAGTTTAGTTTTAGTAGAGGTTTTATGGCGCTCACAACTGCATAAGGTCATAAGAGCGCCAGAAGATTAGAGGTGTTACAAGACAGTAACAAACATAAAAAAGAAGAAGGGGAGATAAGGACGATAGATGTTTGATAGGAAAAGAGGAGTGGTTAAAGAGAAAAATAACATTTCATAGCAGTCATCAAGTGCTGAGAAAGAGCTAGACAGAGAGGGGGAAAATAGGGATAGGTAAAAATAAAAAGGATGTTGTTAGGGGACTGTAGCGCTTCCCACTCAGGGACTGTGCAGTCCCGTAGCACTGCTTTTGGCACTGGGGAACTGAAAAAAAACAACCTTGGACCTTTGGATCGAGGCCAACAATTAAGCCATCATTAGACAACAACATTTAAATTTTCTCCCATGACAAATTGACAACATGTTGTATGATTTGACTGCTGGCGACGTTTTTGGCAGCTATGATGTTCTGTTTTAAAAATTAATGGGTAGGCCCTATGGTAGAGTCATCCACTGCTTTTTTTTGTTTTTTGTGAAAGGCAAATGGTGAAAGTTTTGTTGATCCAGTAGAATTGGCGTAGTCTAGATCTAGACTAGATCTAGATAGATCTATATTGTAATAGTTCTTACATTGTAGGTCTAGATCTAGATCGTAATCTATCTATCTCTATCTATATCTAGATCCTACTGATACATAGATCTAGATCTAGCAATTGTTCAGTTAATGAGTGTGGTGGGAGAATCTAGATATAGAGCCAAACACAGACTATTTAAGGCGAATTTATATTTTTATGTCGACAGGTTTGTTGATCAAGAATAGGATCTATCTAGATTAGATCTAGATCTAGATATAGTAGTAGAACTACTTATGACGTAGACTGTATAGCGGGGGCTCTCGTGGCCTAGAGGTTAAGGTGTTGGCCTCTCATTCAAAGGTCCCGGGTTCGAATCCGGGTAGCGACCGAAAAATTTTCATCTCTAAAATTGTCTCCTTTCACCTCCTTTCCTACTCTCTAGCAATGTTCTGTTGCCTGCTTTCATTTCCACTTTCTGCCCCCACTCCCTCACCTCCTTTGCCCCCTCCTCTGGGCTCCCGACTCTTTCTGCAGCCTTCCTACTGCTACTCCTTGGCTCCTCCTTACTGCTGTCTTTCTACCACACCCCTGATCTTCTGGAAGGAAAGATCTACACCTAGCCTTCTCGGACAAGGGTGAAAAATCTCGGAGGGCCCGTGTGCAAGTTGCGCACGTTAAAGTCATTACAGATCCCTTGGTGGTCTAAAACCGATAAGAGTAGGCTTCGGCCGCCATCCGGGCAAAATTCAAAATTTCCTACCAACTGAAAATATTAGGAGTGTCCCGCGCGCTCATATGATCTTCTGCAGTTGCGAGCGCCGTAAAACACTTTACACAACAAAAAAAAAAAGACTGTATAGACAGCACTACATGATCGTCTGTGTGTATAATATCTAAAATCTGAGCCTAGATCTAGTTTAGCATTACCAAAGATTCTCTACTACCAAGATATTGCAATGGAAGTTGTTATGGGACTGTACAAAAACTCAAAACCTAAACAAAATAGATCTAGAATCTAGATCTAGATCTAAAAAGGGCGGAAACGAAAAAAACTGGTTGAGAATAATATAGATCTATTATACGTGGAGTTTTCTCACCAACGGTGCGAATACTCACACCGAAAGCGAATACTCACACCGAAAGCCCAAAGAAGGATTGTAGTACCTTGGAAGTAGAGAATCTTTGGTAATACTGATACTAGGCCTACTACTTGGCCTAGATCTAGATCTAAACTAGATCTAGATCTAGGTCTAGATATAGGCCTAGACATTATAGACACAGACTGCAAATTTTTAAATTGAAGAAGAGTAGACCTACCATGTAGTATAGATCTAGTCTACAGTCTATGTCATTAGTACTACTACTACTACTACTACTACTACTACTACTAGATCTAGATAGATCATCAAACCTGTGGACATAAATGATAAATTCGCCTTAAACAAACAGTGTTTGGCTCTAGATCTAGATTCTCCCACCATACTAATTAACTTAACTAGACCTAGATCTAGTTATGTATCAGTAGGATCTAGATCTGTCCGATGATGACTTGTTGATCTCGATTCAAAGGTCAAAGGTAGTTTTTTTGCAGTCCCCCAGTGCACAAAGCAGCACAAGGGGTCTGCACAGTCCCCGAGTGGGTAGCGCAACGGGACTGTGCAGTCCCTTAACAACTTCCCAAAAAAAAAAATTTCTTTTTAATTTTTTGAAAAGTTTTAGTAAGAGTTTTACGGCACTTGCAACACAATAAGGTCATATAAGTTCCGATAGATGTTTGATAAGAAAGAAGGAGCAAACCACACCAGAGCACCCGCCAACCACCCACAATTTTTGAAAGGACCTACCACCTGAAAAATAGAAGAACAGAACACTGTAGTGCTATGGACAGATGGTTGTTTATCTGTTTGTTTAATGTTTGCATATCAAGACAATAACAGAAAGTAGGTGTAGGAAAAAAGGCAAGACAAACAGACAGACAGAAACGCAGAGGGAACAAACGTTGGTTCATTTAAGTAAAGAAAAGAGCACATCAACGTCCGAAACAGTCACTCATTGTCAAGGAGATCAGTGTATGTCTTACACAGGTAGACACCTCAGAAAGTAAAAATATTTTTTAATGCAAAAGGGGGGAGAGGGGTTGGAAATCGATAGTTTGTACAGGTCATTGTATTGGACGGGTGGTTGTATTGGACGGGTGGTTGTATTGGACAGGTGGTTGTATTGGACAGGGGGTTGTATTGGACAGGGGATTGTATTGGACAGGTGGCAGTATTGGACAGGTGGTTGTATTGGACAGGTTGTAGTATTGGAAGGAGGGTTGTATTGGACAGGTGGTTGTAAGAGCAAAGTTCAGCCTTCCTGAGTTACTCACAGGCTTTCCCTCACAGACGGATCGGACAAAATTGCAAACGTCGGCCGTGCAGGATCTCACAGTCTCTGTCCTCCCCTCACGGAAGAGCCGGGTCATGGAGGACTCGTAGGTCAGGCAAAAGTGTTTCTCCAACTGAAACAAATAAAATAATTATAACAATAATAATAATAATAATAAT